TGTTCCTTTTCCAGTGTATATCACTGAATTCCAATTGTAGCCAGTTGACGATCCGCAGAGTATGTAGGATTTTACGCCAAAACATGCTCTCTTTGATGCAATGTATTGCACCCAGCTGAGCCTTCCCTTGCAGGCCATTAGACTTTCATCTATGCTGATATCTATTTCTGGCACACAACTCTGTTGGAAATTCTGTAGAATCATTTGAGATACTTCCCAAATTTTCTTTAGTTTTGGTGCAGGATGAGTATTTTCGTCAAATTCTTCGTTGTTTTCAAAGTGTAAAAATTTCATGATCAGGGAAAATCTGTATTCTGACATGACCGTGCCAAAGAATGGACTGGTAAGTAATTTATTAGTTGTCCAATACCACTTCTGCAGGGGTTTCCGCACCACTCCCTGAAGTATTAGTAGGCCCAGAAATTTCCAAATGTCATCTTTGGTCACTGGTTCCCACTTTCTGCTTCTTGGAAACTTCCAGTGCAGAGTAGCCAATTGTTGCTCTTGGTACTGGTTTGTCTCAGTAACAATTTTTTCAATAACCTCATCGGTCAGAAATAATTGTAAGTATGCCAAGGGGTTGTCATGTTTGATGTCTACTTTCATACCAGGTGCTCTAGTAAATGGGAATCTTGGGGGCGCTGTCTGATCCATACCAAAGTCAATAGCGCACCAAGTTCGGACATCACTGAGCTCAGTCACAGAATCGTCGCTGTCCACACTTTCAGTGTCTGATGATGAATTTCCCCACGAATCACTATTTGCTGTCTTCTAGCTGGTCCAAAACCACTTTTTGGATGCCATGGACGTTCTCAAGTTTCCAGGCAGAAAGAACGGTCAAAGTGCAGGCAGGGCACTGGACAAAGCACTAGGGACTAATCTGAGGTGAAATGGATTGATACAGTAATGTAATACTAATATATTACAATTTATTGTGTGCGTGTGTCACATTATAACTTTTTTGAATTTCCTGCTGGTTCCGCCCCCCCCCCCCCCCCCCGTACGTCCCGACGCTTCCCCTGTACGAAGACGGATGCGGGCATTGGCTGGAGGACATGGCCGGGGACACAGCGGGAGGGCATCGCGGGACCACAGGACAAGGTAAGCACTCAAGGGATCGCTGCAGTGTAATCCTGAGTGTTGCACGGGGTTACCACTTCTGGTACTGAACGTTAACCCCCAGCTACACTCAGGATTACTGCTAGGGAGGTTAAATGGCCCTAACAATAGCCGGCAGAAGAACTTGCCCGAAAGCTGCCCCTCCCATAATAATTATTCTGAAAGCCCTCTTTGTTCCACTGCTCCTTCTGCTACCATCCTCCTTTTCTTTAGAACAGTGCATACATAGTCTGGGACTAGCATGGCCGCCATAAATGCGCTCTGGCAGTATAGTTCCAGCTCTTGGTAGATTAAACTTTACTACTTTTCACGGCTGCACTATTTATGCTGATCTGGAAATGTCATCTTATGCCTAGTCCTTACTGTTAATCACTTTGTATGCTGTGTTATTACCATTGTTAATCCATTTTATGCTTGCCTAGTTACTGACAAAATTGGGTGACAATATATTAAGATTTCCTTTACTACTTGGTTTGGTGCCTGTTTTCTTTGATATAGCACTACTATAGGGTACCAAGTATTACTTTCAGTGATTTCCTGTAATATTTTATGTTAATACATTCAACCTGGTATGTCAGAGGGGCTGAGGTTCTTAATAAAGTCGAGGCAAAGGACAGAGGACCCATCCTATCTAGTGGCTACACCGTTGTATAGGCTATTTATAAAACCTGTAATAAAACTATTTGTTGTATTTGTTCAACTGCACTTCAAATGCAAGTCAAACTCATAAAAGTGTTGATGGCAATTTCCAAAGCTGTCTTTTTAAAGCAAGCTAAAATAATTGGAGCTTTTTATTTACCACATTTAATTAAATTAATTGTTCCTTATCCCTGTTTTCAACTACATTTAATACTATGCCATGCAAAAAACTGTGAACCTCATAAATGAAAAAGAGCTACATTGTTTTCAGGCCCTCTGCTCAGGTGTCAGACTAATGCCCGCTCTCTTATGACTGATTTTGGAATGATAAAAGTCAGAGGATTCCTGTTAAGCGATAGCAACATCTGATTTTCTCAGCATTGATAAACATCTGTTAATTGTGAGCTGTATCCAATTCTTTTTGACACCCTCCTACAGACTTGTCACAGCGGTGCCAAAGCTGCACACAAAAAGCTCCATAATTCTGTGCATGTATGATGAATAATTTCCACTGCAATTACAGCTATGTTTGTCTAAATTATTTAGGCTGAAAAACTATTAGTATATTGATGAATGACAGGCAACGTGCATTGAACTGCATACATGTTTTGCATTTCTTTTAACATAATGCCTTTGTATTGTTTTTTGACATCTTGGACCCTTCTGTAAGCAGCCTCCTAAAGCAGCTATATACTGTGCATTGTCTCTTGTAATTTTGTTACTCTTTTATGTTATAGGAAATATAAAACAATACATGTCAACATTTGCTCCCATCTGCTGGTATTAACCACTTTCCCGCCGCCCTATAGCAGAAATACTGCTACAGGGTGGCAGGGGTGCAAAAATTCACGTGTGTGTGTATGTATTTATATATGTGTGTATATCTATATATGTGTGTGTGTGTATGTGTGAGTATATACATATGTGATTTTGCATTTCCGGCCTTACCTGTCGTTAACCGGGTCACGGCCTGTGATTCCCCACCGGCACCCGGCGGTCGCCATGCATCACTGACGGGCGAGTGACCTGTATGTAAACAATACAGATCCCTCCCCTCTCAGCTCCTGCACACTGCTGTGTATGGCTCTGCATAGATTTATATGCTTACAGATTAAAATGCTAAAAACCACTGAAAAACTTGCGTTTTAGCGTGACTTTATATAGCTAACATTACCAGTGTTATTAAAACACACCCAGAGTGCATGGAGCCTTAAAGTTCTTCAACAATAAATGCTAAAAAGACATTGTCAGTTGTTGTGGGACTGTGCTTGTGTGATTGGCAGCCTCTGTACTATTTGGGAGAACCTGGGCATATTCTCAGCAGCTCATTTAGGGGTGAGCGCTACAAACAGTTGTGTTCAAAAGTTTGCATACCCTGGCAGAAATTGTGAAATTTTGCCATTGATATTGAAAAATATGACTGATCATGCCAAAAAATGCTCTTTTATTGAAAGGATAATGATCATATGAAGCCATTTATTATCAAATAGTTGTTTGGCTCCTTTGTAATTCATAATGATAACAGAAATCACCCAAATGGCCATGATCACAAGTTTACATACCCTGGAATGTTTGGCCTTGGGACAGACACACAAGGTGACACACACGGGTTAAAATGCCAATTAGAGGTTAATGTCCCACATATGTGGCTTTTTAAATTGCAGTTAGTGTCCGTGTATAAATAGTCAATGAGTTTGTTAGCTCTTACGTGGAAGCACTGACTAGGCTAGATACTGAGCCAGATACTACTGAGCCATGGGGATCAGAAAAGAACTACGTAACAAGGTAATGGAACTTTATAAAGATGGAAAAGGACATATAAAGATGTCCAAAGCCTTGACTATGCCAATCAGTACTGTTAAATCACCTATTAAGAAGTGGAAAGTTCGGCGATCTTTTGATACCAAGCCAAGGTCAGGTAGACCAAGAAAGCTTGCAGCCACAAACTGCCAGAAGAATTGTTCGGGATACAAAGGGAAACCCATGGGTAACCACAAGAAAAATACAGGCTGCTCTGGAAAAAGACATTGTGGTTGTTTTGAAGGAGCACAATATGATGACACTTGAACAAATATGAGCTGCATGGTCGAGGTGCCAGAAAGAAGCCTTTACTGCATCAATGACACAAAAAGGCCTGGTTAGGCATGTCAAGGTGTTATCAGGCATATTGTAACTGGGCTTTTGTGTGGCATTGGTGCAGTAAAAGCTTCCTTCTGGCACCTCGACCAAACAGCTCATTTTTGTTCAAGTATCACTGTATTGTACTCCTTAAAAACAACCACACCATTTTTTTCCAGAGCAGCCTGTTTTTCTTTTGAGGCTGCCTGTTGGTTTTTCTTTGAATCCCGGACAATCCTTCTGTCAGTTATGGCTGCAAGCTTTCTTGGTCTACCTGATCTTGGCTTGGTATCAAGAGATCCCCAAACTTTCCACTTCTTAATAGATGATTTAACAGTACTGATTGGCATATTCAAGGCTTTGGACATCTTTTTATGCCCTTTTCCATCTTTTTAAAATACCATTACCTTGTTACGCAGGACTTTTGACAGTCTTTTCTGATCCCCATGGCTCAGTATCTAGCCTAGTCAGTGCTTCCAAGTAGGAGCTAACAAACTCACTGACACTAATTGCAATTTAAAAAGCCACATATGTGGGACATTAACCTCTAATTGGCATTTTAACCCCGTGTGTGTCACCTTGTGTGTCTGTACCAAGGCCAAACATTCCAGGGTATGTAAACTTTTGATCATGGCCATTTGGGTGATTTCTGTTATCATTATGATTTAAAAAGGAGCCAAACAACTATTTGATAATAATGGCTTCATATGATCATCATCCTTCAATAAAAGAGCATTTTTTGGCATGATCAGTCATATTTTCAATATCAATGCCAAAATGCCACAATTTCTGCCAGGGTATGTAAACGCTTGAGCACAACTGTACATAACTGCATTTGTTTGTGTTTTTTGTGATATCTGCCTGAAGTTGAGCTTTAACCACTAGCCTACAGGGCACTTATACCCCCTTCCTGCCCAGGCCAATTTCCAGCTTTCAGCGCTGTCACAATTTGGATGACAATTGCGCGGACATGCAACACTGTACCCATATGAAATTTTTATAATTTTTTTGAGACAGATAGAGCTGTCTTTTGGTGGTATTTAATCACCTCTGGGATTTTTATTTTTTCTTAAACAAACCAAAAAACCACTGAAAATTTTGAAAAAAAAGTTTTTTCTTAGTTCCTGTTATACAATTTTGTAAATAAGTGATTTTTCTCCTTCACTGATGTGCGCTAATGAGGCTTAAGTGATGGGCACTGATAGGCTGCACTGATGGACACTGATAGTGGCACTGATGGGCACTGATGAGGAGGCACTGGTAGGTTGCACTGATGGGCATTGACAGGCATCACTGATGGTCACTGAAAGGCAGCACTGATACATGACACTGATATATGGCACTGATAGGCGGCACTGACTGGCACTGATTGGCAGCACTGATAGGTGGCACTGATTGGCATTGATAGGTGGCACTGACTGGCACTGATGGGTGACATTGAAAGGCAGCTCAGATGGGCACTGATATGTGGCATTGATGGGCACTGGTATGCACTGATATGTGGCATTGATTTGGCACTGATGGGCACTGGCACGTGGCACTGATGAGCACTGACTGCTGGCACTGATGGCCACTGACAGGTGGCACTTCTGGGGCCACACTAATCATCAGGGCACACTGATCATCAGTGCCCTGATGATCAGTGTACATGTCCCCTCCGCGGAAAAGCCGATTACTGGCTCTCCTCTCCTCTCGAGCTGTCAGCGTGACAGCTCGAGAGGAGAGAAATGGCGATAACCGGCATTTCCATGTTTACATGTGATCAACTGTGATTGGACACAGCTGATCACATGACCAAGCCGACATCTTCGGCTCTTTCTATGATCTGCTGTGTCCGAGGAACACAGCGCACCGGCGATTGCGCATGCGCGGTGAGAATGGAAGGACGTCATATGACATCCTATCAGAACGAGAGAACCACCTTGCGCCCGTCATTGTACTATATGGCGGGCGGAAGGTGGTTAAAGTGTATCTTAAAGTGGAGTTCCAGCTGAAAAAAGAAAAAAAATCAGCAGCTACAAAAACAGTCATTTACCTGTCCCTCGGTCCAGTGGAGTCCTCACCACGGCTTTTACCAGCCGTCTTCTCTCCCTGGCACCGGCATCCTCAGTGTGGGCACCCAGCTGTGACAGCTTGCTGCTTCACAGCCGCGCTGGCCATTGCTCATGTGCGAGAAGCACTGCGCTTTGTGAATAGCCCCGTAGTCTTCTGGGACCTGTCATGTGTCCCAGAAGACTACGGGGAAGGAGGGGGGATGACAACTTCCGCTTCCGATCGCCGTAGACGACTGCAAGCAGCAGTGGGAGGGGGTACCCGCTCCCCCACGTTTTTAATCCTTAATGGGGAGCGGGGGACAAAGGCTTAAAGTAAAGTTGAAGTTGAACTTCTCAATTTGGTTGGAGCTCCACTTTAAACCAAAAAAAAAATGTTGTTGCACATATTCTGTAATGTTAATGTATTTTCTCATTTCAGTTAAATCAGACCCTGGTCGCACCGGGTGCGACTTGGCATACGATTTGCATGCCATGTGACTTGCAAACTGCATGCCAAGTCGCACCCTATTGTCCGCAATTACAGCGGTCATATTGGTGTGGTTCTGACTTGGTCGGAGCCGCATCGATTTCTAAAGTAGTACATACACTTCTTTTTTAAAAAAAACAACAAATTAACTTGTGAGCCACTGAGGTATATTTAAAAATGTGAGTATTAGGTCGCTGGTAAAAAAAATGCCCTACTTTTGGTGCGATTTGCATAGACATCTGTGTCAGATGTCTTGCAAATCACACCTGAAATCGGCATGTCCCCCGACTTTGAAATCATGCGACTTCACTGTAAGTAGCACAATTTCTAAGACGGGCTTGATGTGGCCGGGGTGTCATACCTTGTTATTCTACCAGCAAAGTATATTAACAAGAACTTCCCTTTCTTAAGGATCCAGTATCAGTGTTGTCACCCTTTCCTGCACATCTAGATTTGAATAACAGACAGCTGCAGTTATGTGCCAGTTCACATGCAATGTACACCTGCCAGAGAGGTTTCTTCTCTGGCAGCTGTTCGCTGTGGCTGCAGTAGTGGACGGTGTGCGATTCAGTGCACACACAGCTCTCTTTTTACCCTCATTTAAAGCGGAGTTTCAGTGGAAATGTGAAAAATAAAAGTCAGTATGCGGCTTCACAGCCGGGTGTTCACTGTGCACTTTCTGAATGGTTCCGTAGTCTTCTAGGACCTGTCATGTGTCCCAGAAAACTATGGGGAGGGAGGGGTGAAGAAAACTTCCATTTCCGATTGCCTAGGCAAAATATATAGGAAGTCCGGAGGTCCCCTTAAGGATGGTATGGTGCTCAGCCAGGATCCAAAGCTCCGTCCCTCTGGTGGTGGTAGGTCAAACAACAGGAATCCTGCAAGTTGATTTAGCTCCCAATAGGAGCCAAAAAAACAGGCGCCCATAGTGTAGTATTTTTATCAAGTTTATTAGCCAAAAAATGTAATAAATACAGGGTAGTATATAGCTGTATTGACCAAGTGATATACAGCAGAGTATGCAGCGGTGATACTGACCCTAAGTTAAAATGGCCGCCGGGCTATCTTGTGGCTCCGGGCGGGGAATGACGTCATGCTCTGTCGGTTCCTCCTAAGGCCTTTCGTGCCAAAGCACATCATCAGAGGGGATACCAACCTTTTCCATGCGCGTCCAGTGAGTGCGCATTTTTTCCATTGTTTCCTGGTTTCATCAGCTATCTTTTGAGACTTGTTCATATGAATCAATATATTAATCATGGACCATTTTCTTTTGCACTTTATATATTTTAGCGCTGCACTCTGTTTTACTTGTCATTTTATGGGTACACCTTTAGTGCTTTAGCTGCTTACCTAGGAGCGCTCACTTTATACCATCTTATCTAATGTAATGTGAAAGATGAGAGACATGAGACCGAACAATGCAGAAGAGCTGAAGGCCGCTATTGGGCTTCAAATGTCGTATTCTTCTTGTCAAGCCGCTCCTGTACAACAAACAACATCAGAAGCGTCTTACCTGGGTTAAAGGAAAACAGACCTGGTCTGTTGCTCAGTGGGATTACTGTGCTTGATTGGCCAGCAAACTCGCCTGACCTGAACCCCATAGATAATCTATGGCAAGTTGTGAAGAGAAAGATGAGAGACATGAGACCGAACAATGCAGAAGAGCTGAAGGCCGCTATTGAAGCATCCTAGTCTTCCATAACACCTCAGCAGTGCCGCAGGCTAATAGCTTCCATGCCACGCCGCATTAAGGCAGTAATTGCTGCAAAAGGGGCCCAAACCAAGTACTGAGTACATATGCATGCTTATACTTTTCAGAGGTCCGATATTGTTCTATGTACAATCCTTGTTTTATTGATTGCATGTAATATTCTAATTTTCTGAGATTGTGGATTTGGGGTTTTCATGAGCTGTAAGCCATAATCATCACAATTATAACAAATCACAGCTTGAACTATCTTGCTTTGCATGTAATGAGTCTATCTCATATATTAGTTTCACCTTTTAAGTTGCATTACTGAAATAAATGAACTTTTGCACGATATGCTAATTTTTTTGAGTTTCACCTGTATATATTATTCCTATGTTTATATTTAATTGTAAATATCATATTTAATATCAGTGGAGCGCAACACGTTTTGCATATTTATTTCTGATTATAGTGACACACATGTATGAGTGTGTGTGAGGTGTAGGCTACCCACTTATATGTTTTTTTATGTTTTTATGTCTTTATTTACTCATTTACATTTAATAATTTAAATTTACTCACCTAATAAGATATTTATGCACATATACTATAGTAGCTCACAAAGTATCATGGTTTTACACCTGGACATTCTTGGAAGGAAAAAGTGATCAATAGGGAGAAGAATTGGAGAGAGGAGAGGGCTATAAAAGGGGGGTCCATTAACAGAAAATTCAGAAACCTGGGGGGCATCTTTGTGGTGCTCCTTCTCACCTGCCCCTTTTCGTTGCGGCCAGTTATTATTGGTAAGTATCATATTTAATGATGGTAAAATACGTAAGTATTTAAATTGAAAAAAGTTGTATGGTTTGATAAGTGCTCTGTTAATAAGTACAGCTTGAGTCGTAGTGACTAAGCTGGGTTTTCGAGTAAGATTAATTTAAGTAAAAATGTTTTTCAATTATTAGTAAGTTATTATGTAAAAATAAAGTGTTTCTAATAAAGAATATATATTTAAACCAATAATAAAACAGCCGCGGCCAAGTTAGTACGAAAACAATAAGAGTTTGGTCTTTATTGTATAGAATACTGCCTACAGTCCCATATAACAGCCATAGTGGGTTAAAAGGAAAAAATCTACCCTGAACAGTGTGAATGGCAGAATTTAGTAGTAGTAATATTTTTTTTTCATTCTATTCATGCATTGCCAGCTTAAGGTGCCTATTGACATCAACTGGTAGCCACCCATGCATGGACAATAGGACCGCCAAGTGACATTTTGGATTAAAAACTGCTGTACAGACATACAGTACATGTTCAATGCAGAAATTGCATGCTTGTGCCTATGGAGGGTGGTGTACTCAGGCTTACCTAAATGGAAAACCATATCAATTTTTTCTGAGAAGGCTTGGCCAGGGACTCTTGGTTGGTTGGGGTCTGGAGGGGAGGCTTACAGACATAATGTCATTCTCTGATCCATTCCTTTATGGCACACATTTTGTAAGCACATGTGGTATACCTCTAAGCAAAGGAGAGTCCCCTCTGTAAGGTCCATATTCCAGTTCCGGCACCCAGACTGACTACTCCAAAAAAGGGAGACTGCGCATTCCAGGCAGAATCAGTGGCGGACTGACCATTTGGAAACTCGGGCACTGCCCGAGGGCCCGGCATCAGTAGGGGGCCCCATGAGATGCCCTGGTACCTTTTACATAAGCTTTTTTGAGTTTGGGCAAGGACATAGGCGCCCCATGATCCCCTATTGCCCGGGGCCCCCATGAGTTGTCAGTCCGCCCCTGGGCAGAATTGTATCTTGCAGCACTGTTTCCTCGGCGTTCCCCTGAGGAAAGCCCCTCACCAACAGCGACAGCGGTCTCCCCTTGTATTTATAGCCCACCACAAGGGGCCAGAGCAGAGCTATGAACTGCCGGGAGTTAGCAGACTTAACCCTTACCTAACCCCCTGGCAGCCTGTTACACAGAACTCCCTAATACATACACAGGGCAATACAATAACAAGATATAGTGTGTGCCCAGGGGCAGACTGACAACTCATGGGCCCCCCGGGCAATAGGGGATCATGGGGCCCCTGTGTCCTTGCCCAAACTCAAAAAAGCCTATGAAAAAAGTACCAGGGGCATCTCATGGGCCCCCCTACTGACCCTGGGCCCTCGGGCAGTGCCCAAGTTTCCAAATGGTCAGTCCGCCCCTGTGTGTGCCCCAAAAGTAGGCATCTGCATACATTGCTAGTACATCTAACACTCCCCCTCCCCAGACTGACAATTCTGCTGTCCAAAGGTGCCCCCTGTGGGGGGTGGGGGTAGCTCCTTGATCCAGAGTGAGGGCACTCTAATACAGGAGCTGTGTTTACTGGCCAGATCACCAGGTGATAAAAAAAAGGGGAA